AATAGTGCATTTTAACCCCCATTCTCAAAAAGGGGGGTGACAGCTAAGGGGTTAAGGGGTTTGAGTCTATTTATAGACATATATACACATGCATTTTTAATGATCCCTGTTATTTTGCTAAATTTATTAATATTTTGCAGATTCTGCATGGTCTATGTAAACTTTTGACCATGACGTTGTGTGTGTATACCGAATTTATGATACCGCCACAATGATTCGTTATGGACATATTTGTAATACGTCAGACATCACTATAGTTATGAATGTATATAATATGCACCTCTCTGTCGATCCTGTTTTGTTTCAGCCACCGTTAACTAATTCGCCGTCTGCTTAAACAGAGATGCATGAGATGCGATGTGCTCTGTGCTGAATTAGCATTTCTGTGCCTGAGGTCTGAATAGGGAATGTGGCTAGTGCTACCTTTACCATTTTGTTGCCATTAAAAATGAAAGCAACACCAAGGAAAAGGACAAAGATGAAATTACAAGAAGATTAAGAGCAGAGCAAATGTTCATATGCTGAGGCTTCTGATTCATGCTTTCTCTCACATTCAGTCCTTCCGTCTTGTGTTAGTTTGCCTTTGCCTTTAAATGTCATCTTGCATTGACCTCATGAATACTGTGCGTGTGTGCGTACGTGTGTCCGGAGGGCAGTGTGTGTGTGTGTGTGTGGATGCTATATCTTATTCTAGTCATTCTTAGCAGCTGTGGCGTGTTTACAATCTTGTCCTCAGGTTTTTTGAAAGAGCATCTTCAAAATCACCTAAAACTGCACAACAATGGCATTGCACTGAATGTGAGATTCATTTCTATTTCATAGCTCATCTTATGCTCACTAATGCGTCTTTCTCCAAAGAAGTAAGAGTAAATAACATCCCGAAATAGTATAGAGCAATATTTGTCAGCCATACATAACATTTATGCACTCAAAAATCATGGCTTGTTAACTATTTGCAGCTATTCGATTTGATGCATTTGTTCGAATTGCATAAATCTGTTCATTGTGAAATCAATTGGATTTATTCAGTTAAAAAGTATGAACATTATATGGAACCAGTAATATTCAATTAAATATATAAACCTTTTGAATTTTAATCATATTCAGTTTATTAGTAGGCTACTATTACAGAAATCTAACCCTTTTCATTTATGTATGACTGACAAATATGCATCACATTAAGTTTATTAGTTTGTTTATGGTAAGACTGTGTGATCTAAACTATCCAAAATTCATGACATTAATGATTCCTCGAATTGTATATATATATTTTTAATATTATTTCTTCAGGTATATTAGGCTGCTGTCACTTTAAGACCTGATAGATGGATCCATTACATCCGTTATATGCACTTTATGAAAAGATAACTGACTGTGTTTACGTGAATACTTCTCAAGTTCGGCATTTTGACATTATTTAGTGTGTATTTGACTCTTTAAGCGCAATAAGCAGTGAAAAAGAACCCAATTTAGTACTGAGAGGCTTTATGTGCCGCACTTTGGGTGTTTGAGCACAAAATATGCGGGAATTAGTAAAATGACACAATACACAATCCAACGCCGAAACTAAAGCCGTGTAACACCAACGATATTTATACGGGGCAATGAGTGAGTGGAGGCGGGGTTGTGTGTTACACGCTGTCGGAGAGATGAGAGAGAGAGAGCAGTATCATATTCCAGGATATGGTATCATATTATGGTAATCATATTTAATCCCGTAAAAATAAGTAGGCCAATTAAAAGCGTTTCAGATATTTCATTATCGATATGTATTGAAATATCAATATTTTTGACAACAATACAACTTAGTTTATTATTTTAGATGCCTTTTTAAAATGTATAAATAGGCTCTATGCACAACTTACTTCCGGTTCTGGTCTTTTGTATGTGCTTCATGATTTTTTTTGTGTGGTTTTACTCAAGATAACTTAATAAAAGGAGTGAGCAAAGATTAGCTTAACCAATGTCCCTCACATGTGCAGATTGATATTTAAACGTGTTATATTTTTCTTCGTCGCAGTTACGTTTAGATATTTATAAAACGCCAATAACAAAGTGAACTAGGTAGGTTAGCTGATTACCTTAAAACTCCATAGATATCGTAGTCAGTTCTTACGGCCGTTAACACTTTCTCTGACAAGCGGATGCGATGAGACCTTTTTTCCGGTTTGGTCACGTGACGCACGGCATAAAGCCCAAGGGGGTAATCCATCGACCGGAAGTTGAAGCTGAGTGGGAGCTGCCATCTTGTAGCAGAACTTCACTTGCGTTAGCATTCCCATTGACTCCCATTTATTTTGGCGTCACTTTGACAGTGAATAACTTTACATCTGAGGTGTTTGAAGACCCCATTTGTCCTTTATTTATTTCTAAAGAAACACGACAATGTATAAAATGCTCCATTACCTTGTAGCTTATGTTACGGCCCCGTAGAAGCAGTTTTAGTGAAAGTAGGCTAACGATTGCGTCATACCCACGAGACTCTCTGTCGCACAGTAGA